CAAGGTTTTGAATGCTCGCCCTCGTGTCTTGTTGGAATCGAATCGTGTTGGAAGCCATGGTCTTCAATCATTTCCTCCAGTGCCATGATAGATTGGTTTGGTGGCGGTGGCGGTGGTGGCTGGAGGAATTGTTGTGAAAGTGCTTGCGGTCGGAACCCTTGATGTTGCAGATTCCCATACCTGAGATTCAGATGATCCTTCCACCACGGGTTGTAGGTGTTTGAGTAAGGGTCATATTGCGGTTGCCTCGGTGGACCAAAATTGGCTACATTCACATCGGCATGACTTTCCTCGTACAACGCAGGGCGTGCATCGGTGGCATGCTCGAGGCTCGTACAAATGCCACACTCTTTCACATGGCACGTGTTTCCTACACAACCAATTGATGAACAAATTTTGTAAGTTCGGAAACTTGTTGTCGAAGAGAATCGTTACCTTTTGAATATTTGACTCCTCTGATTCTTAATTGTAGTGAATTCTCTGTCATCCTCACAGTCAAATCCCGCCCAACATTTGGGATTTTATCCGCCAATTCTCCTTGGCTAGCGGCATCAATGTTGTTCCGGTCTAGCATGCCCAGTCCTTCATAAAAATATTGGAGCAACAATTGGTCTGTAATTTGATGTTGCAAGCACCGCGCACAAAGCTTGTTGAACCTCTCCAGATATTTATGCAACGTCTCTCCTTATTATTGTTTGATGCCTCAAAATTCCTTACGCAATGTTGCTGCCCGTGATGTCGGAAAATACTTTTCACCTCAATCTAATATATGTCATTCTCATCCGTCTTCCCTTGGTATGATTTGAAATTTCTAGGTGTGTATATTTGCCTAGATGCCAGAAAATACTTTTCACCGCAATGTCTCTTTCTTACATCCAATGTGTGACTATTGGGATCCTAATCATCCTAAACATATGGCTCATCTTCATATAAAAATATGACCTTCATAGACCCTTGATTGGTGTTATTAACTTTTTTTTTTCTCAAAGAAATACGTCTTAAAACTAATTTGGATTTAATAATCTTAAGACATGAGTTGCCACTATTTTTGCTGCTTTCATCTTCTTGTTTTACTTGTTTAGTAAATTTAGTTAATGTAGTGGTTATGGTAAAGAGTGAAAAGGGTTATTGGTGTTCTACTATTATGGTGACATACTTTAGAAGATCGGCTTTAATTTCCTTTTTTATCTCTTCATTGAAGTGAGCACGATGTGTTGTGTTTGTGAATGGATGACTTAAGCCATTTTCAATAGAGCCAACCTTTGACCTCTCTTTTTGTAGCTGCCCTTTGTCCTTTCATAATTTTGATTTGGCCATTGTTTAGGAGCATGTCAAATATTCCATCACCCTTGTTGGACTTATTGAGTAAAGTTTTTTCGGATCCTCCTAACATGTTGCTTTCTCGGGTTTCATGCTGCCACCTCATCAAACTTTCTTTTATTCGTTATATACTATCTTTATCTCTAAACAGGTTATCCATCATATTGGCTTTTGATTCCAGCTAGGCGAGATTGGTTATTTTGTGGGCGATTAATTAGTTTTGTAACCATATCTTAATGTTCCTAACCTCTAAGTTGGTAAGTTTAGAATCATAAATAATTGTGGAGCACTAAATTCTTTTTTTCCTTACCCATTGAATGAAGTGCATGGATGATTCATCCATTTTTTCTTTTACTTTTTTGGTTTCCACATTTTTTTAATGAAACAGTTATGATATGATTAAAGAATCTACGTGAAAAAGTTCCCATGTCTGGAAATATGATACTTGTAATATCATGAATCAAAAGAAAGATGTTCTCATTACGCCAGTGAAAATAAATACATCTTAAAATTAGATTGTTCCATAATCATGTTCACCGAGATACGTTGAGAATTTAGAAACTCTAAAATTTCTCAACAATGAGAATTTGGCATCTATTCTCTCAAGATAAAGGCTTTGGTAATTGCGATATTTGGTGTGGCTGAGATTTATGCCAAAGTAAATCCTTGGTACTTGTTCAATACCATTTAGTTCTACCCTTATAGGTTGCACCATACAAGGAGCATTATTGATGTGAATACTTTCTTCGTGACCGACCCTCCTTAACAGGGTCATAACTCTTGTTGTCTTTGTGATCCACTATAATTGTGTATGTTATTGATACCGTAATGTGACCCCAAAAGGATGTTATTTGAAATGTTGGATTTTTACCCTTTGAATTGGTTGAGTACTCCGATTGTTCTAGAACCCCATATAGATTATGTATCTTACTATTGAATTGCATACTAGTATAGATCATGTTATCATCAAATGACGGTTACCCCATTTCATGATGTGCTGATGCAAATTCCCTATTATAATATCATTGCAGGGGATTGCTGCATTAATCAATAGTGATTGTGTAAGAATGTTGTGCAAATTCCCTATTATAATATCATTGCAGGGGATTGCTGCATTAATCAATAGTGATTGTGTAAGAATGTTGGGTTTATTCATGTTGGCCACTTACGCTTCCAACCAGAAAAACAAATCAATCAAGCGGGCCATTTTTTGTTGTGTCATTAACACTTGCTGATCTATGGTCCTTTGAAGGACATCCAAATCGACTTGATTTACCCGGTTGTCTGGTGCTGTGCAAACTATTTAGGAGTGATAGTGGAATTTGTATTAAAGCTTCTTCGTAGTATACCTTTCACAAACTTAAACAAATAAAAGAGTATTTAATTGTGAAAATTGAATTATCCCTGCCCATTACAGTCACCAATGTGTTGACTCTAAAAAATTAACAAACAAATAGTAAAATTAAGTTCATCTGTAAAATTGATTTTGTGGACTAATACAAAATGTAAAATAGGTGATCTCCAAGATAGTACAAATAAGTATATAAAATTATTAATTTAAAAATAAATATAAAATTATTAATTAATAAATACATAAAATATTATATACGTATGAATTAAGAAATAAAATAAAATATCATATTTATCTAAAAAAGCTTACTCGAATCGAACACGAACACAAACTCGAACAATAAAATTTCTTAATGAACCGAGCTTGAACAATACAAACAAGCTCAAATACTTATTGAATGAATACAAGCCTTGTTCGAAAACACTTCAAATTTTGTCCGGTTCGATTCATTAACACGTCTACCGGTGACAATACCTTGAATTTTGTGTCGATCGAAGATGTTTGATAATCTTAGGATTGAGCATTGCTTCAATAAAATGGTATCCAACAATTGAAACTTGTTGATTCGAACAGTTGGTTCTTTGGCCGAATACCCAATCTATCCCTTGGTTGCATATCGAACATTTTGTGTCCATAATAGGACATTTAAGTTTTGTTTGGGAACTCCTCAAGGTGTCTGCTTTTAGTCAGACAATTTATTTTAAACATTAACATATAAATCTACCAAGGCCAATATCGGATATTTAAATAATTTTTCTCTGTAAACAATATTTAATTTATTCAATATAATTTTTAGAATAAAATTCTAATATTAAATTTATTGATACATAGAAACAAATGTTAAATTTGTTGATACATAGTGTTAAAATATATTTAGAAATATTATATTATATTATATTTATGATAGTTATTTTATTTAAGAGATTCGTAGGATTTTTATTTTATTTAGACGATTTGTATACCACTATAAATATGTATGTATTCTTATTATTGCAACAAAGAATTTCAATTTTATATTCTAATATGGTATTAGAGCCAAATTCTCTCGGAGTATATCTATGACCCGTTATATCCCATATATATTTTTATATTTTATTGATGTATCTTCTTCTATCTACGGTTATGCTATCATTTTTATGTTTTCTCCATCTTTGCTACTTCGATCTCCATTGACAGAGTTTTACTTTCGACTCTAACGCCGTTGAGAGTCCTATTTTCGACTCGAGCGAGCAAGTCCTGTTTCCGATTCTAGCTCTATAGAGTGAGCGAGTCCTGTTTTCGACTCTAGTTCCGTTGTGAGCGAGCGAGTCATGTTTCCAACTCTAACGGTGTTGAGAGTTCTGCCTCTGACTCTGATCCAGTGGACGGCTACACCACTTTCAGTCAATCTTGGCGAATTCAAATTCGTACGTGAAAGATTTCGGCTATATCTTTTTTCGGTCACTTCTGAAAAACTCAAGTTTGTTCCATCATATCTTGAGTTTGAGGAGAGGTGTTAAAATATATTTTAAAAAATTATATTATATTTATGATAGTTATCTTATTTAAGATATTCGTAGGATTCTTGTCTTATTTAGACGATTTGTATATCACTATAAATATGTATGTATTCTTATTATTGCAATAAAGAATTTCAGTTTCATATTCTAGCACATAGAAACAAATTTATTGATATCACAATATGATGTAGATGGAGATTATTTACAAATTTCACCGATTTGCACTAAAAAATAGTGCAACATGTTCTAAAAAACTTACACTGATAAATGAAGAAAGATATGTTGTGTGTGCTTCACATCCGATTTAATATGGTTATATAAAATTTTCTATATGAATTTTATTACATAATCCATTTATATTAAATGAATACAACATAAAAAATTAAAATCCATATATTTGTCCTAAATTAACAATTGATAATATTGAGAAAATTAGAAAAATCAATATAACACACAAGAGCACAAACATTTATTGATACAGTTCCATTATAATGTTTGGGGCCAGAAAAAAAGTCAAATATTTTTACTAATATTTTTTCGGTGTAAATTACAAAGAGAAGTGTAAATCTAAACCCTAGTACACGGTCCAATAAACTATACGACAACCCAAATGGTTTTTGGTAAATATTTTAGGTCAAAACCTAGACCGACCTAAGCTTGAGAGGCCAGATGTTCACTCTCTTAATTTCAACTTGAACTTCATAACACATTAATCAAATGGATTTTCTAAATATATTTTCCAACACATAGGTGGAAATGCAATGAACTTATATGGAATATTTCATACAATTATAGTGAAGTATGTGCTGGTAAACTCTTGTCTCCCTTAAAAACCAAAATTTCTATTAATTAAGCAGTGAACATACCCTTAGCCAAGCTAAGATTAAATTCAATAGTCGGATCATCAGTAGATCGACCACTAACAATAAAAACGAAGTTACAATCCTTTCCAGCTATGAATCAGTGCAAAACATAGACATGATCCAACAAAATTATATTACAATGCAATACCGGGTGGCTACGAAGATCCCTCAGAAACACAATGATCTTACGGTGCATCTATCCAAACAGCTTCATGCAACTCGTCAGGGGGACTAAAGCACTTCCGATAGTATCTTTCATGCAGTAGAGAATAGCACATCAAATTCTTCTTTCCGTAATTAGGTTTCGCAAAAAAAATGCAGTCTCTCATCCATCGCGGCATGTTATCTTTGACGTATGAACCTGTCGCGCTGGCGAAAAATGTTAGTCCTTCTAAACTCGTCACGTCCAGCCAATAAAATTTAGTTAGATCTAACTTATAAACAATCGGCTGACTAACAAAGGACATCCAAACAATATAGATGTCGCCGTTGTGCTCAGCCATGAACCATTTACTTGCTGTCTCGACCCAATCCTTCCCTTCGGAGTAGGCATCCTCGTTGAAGACTCTCCAAGTGCTTCTCATTGGATCGTAGACTGCCACTTGTTCTGTCTGGTTCAAGCAATAGAAGCAACCGTTGCATGCCATAATTGAGCTCCAGACGCAACTGCGAAGTGGGTACTGGGATTGGTAAGTGACAGTGGTCCAAGTATCATCACCAGGGCGACAAGTTGAGATAGTAGCCCGTGTTTCCTCAGATATATATATAGTGAATACAAGACAGTTGGGCGATTTCGGGGTTCCTGAGAAAGCTCCTCCTTTGAACTCCACAGATAATCGTGGTAGCTGGACTGACTCTTGAGTATGAGGACAGAATAATGTAAGTGTTTGTGTGCTGGCCTTGAAATAAAGCATCCAACGATCCCAGACATAGCAGACTATACCTCTTCGGCATCTTGGCAAGCTAAGGCTTCGTGGCTGGCGGCTCAAAGAAAGATCGATGAATTGGTATGGCTGGTGGCTATATTTCTGAAGATGCAAAAGCAGCGGAACCTTGCCCAAATTTTGGGCAGTGGCTGCAGCAGCTCGCCACTTTCTGCAGACACCGGAAGCCTGACTAATGTCTCTGACGCTCAACATACTTAAGATCAACACTAGAATGTCCGTAGGAAGATAAAACTCCTCCTGCTCCTGCTCAGTTGATGAACTGCCAGCAAAAGATGGCGCAAGGAAGTTAATCGCTACAGCAATACATTTGAAGGTATTAGCATTTAGAAATGATTTGCAATCGAGAATTAATATGAAATTTATCACTTCCATACAGCTAAACCAGAAACTCCGTGACAATAGGAATGCTAAGAAAATGATGCGTAGTGTTTGGTTCAATAGAGCGATGGGAAGGAAGGGGAGGAAAAACTATCATTGCATTACATGGTTCTGGTAAACTTATGTAAGGATGCTTATGTACGGCGACTAATAAATAATAATATTTTAATATTAAAGTGAGATAGATAAAAATAAATTTGTAGTATTATAAAAAATTTATTTGAAAAATTGATAAAAAAATTGGCAAGTAGAAAAATTATTGACAAATTGATAACGATAACAAAATAAATAAAATAGACATAAGTTATGCGGGCAACAAAAAAATAATGATATAATTTTAGCCGAAGAAAATAATAGTTATTGTTTGATTCACATTGAAAAGCAGGGGAGGGAGAAAAAATAGTATTTTTATTGGTTTTTTTTTTTTTTTTTTTTTTCCGCTAAGATGTGAGGGGTGTAAAAATAAGATAAGGTTACATTAAGAACAAAATTGCATAATAAGTTTTGAATTTTTCATCTACAAAACTAAAGTATATCATGTAGCTGGTACCATAGATAGTTGTAAATAAAAATCGGAACAATATCAAAGTAGTGGACTAGACTGTGAAAAAAAGTTAAAGTAGAATGAGGATATATATATATAGGGCTACATGAGGATATATAACTGGATTTTACATAAAATGTTAAAATTTAAATTTATAATTTAAATGAAAATTTTTATAATTATTTTCACCATTTCCAAAATTAACCAATTGGGAGGATTTTTCTTCGGCTTCCATTCCCCCCTCAAAGACAATTTGAACAAAACACACATTTATTAAGTGATTGATAAGCCTATTTCTGATCCCTATATACACAAATATTGTAATTGTAAATAATAATAATTATGACAACAAAAAATAGAATGTAATTGATTGTATCCAAATGAAAAACAAACTAAAAACCGCAAAGAGTACTTAAATTTAAAATGGAGAATCTAAGCTACCATGGTTACCGAAATAGACTGATTTTTAAAAAAAAACTTAAATTAGATCTCATCTCGTCATACATGACCTCGGCAAGACCCCTTCTACAATATTTAAAATATTTTATTTTTACAAAGATCCTTTTACGAGCTGGAGTAGATCTTTTCAAATCATGTGGAAAAAAATCAAACAACAATCAATCAACTCACATTGGTTGCGATCAATGAAATAATAATAATAATAATAAACTCACGATTTCAGGTTTTTGTTGCTTTTCCGTGGTCCCCTGGCCATGGTTTCTCCGCTATCGCCTAGGTTGTGCCGTCCGCAAGAGAGAGAGTAGATGGATGAATCTGAAATGTGACTAGTTTCTATTTCCAATGGGCCGGTTTTGCGAGAATAGTATTGATGTGTTCACACCGTCTACTTTACTAATCTTTACTAGAAATAATAAATAATATTATTTCTTTTTGTTTCATATTTATTGTTTGTGAAATTATAAAGTGAATAATTAAATTTTATATGACACATATCATAAATGTATATTACCTGAAAAAGTTAGATTAAATTATGGTTGTCATTAAATGTTTAATATGAAAACATTCAAATCAATTCACTAAATTTTTATTTATTAAGCAATGGGCCTCAAAGCCCATTAGAGCAATAGTAAAATCCGAAAAAAAAAAAAAAAAAAAGGGAAACAAGGGGCGACAAACAGTAGTGAGAGGAAACTATCAACATGTGAGCAATATTACGTCTATTAGAGCATCTCTTATAGTCATTGCGTGTGCCCATTATCACTTTTATCTTTCTATCCACCTCAATATTCAAATTATTTCATTTATCCCCTAAATCACCGTCAACTCATTACCTTTACTATTTTATAAATTCACAATAATTTATTTATTTCTATATACTTTTATTATGTAATAATACATATAATCAATATATAAATAAATTATTTATCTATACATATTTCTATATATTTTTATTATCTAATAATATTTTTATATAATAATATTTTAACTTTTAAATATTAATCTATATAAATTTATAATTGAATATATACGGAATAAATCAACATATATATTAACTAAAAATAAAAACAAAATAATCATAATAATTAACAATATAACTTAAGAATTATTATTTTTATTTCCAAATCGTATCCAAATAATATATGCAGTAAGGTAGAAAAAAAAACAAATAAATTTACAAATATGGTAGATAAAGTATGATAATTGATTAATGAATTTTAAATATATATAATTTAATTGATTTTTTTTTTTTTTTTTTTTTTGGTGAAGGTAACCAGATCTTATGAAATGTAATAAATTTGGATAACTGTATTTCTTCTTAAAAGTATAAAACTGAAATACAATAATAAAGAAGGTGTTTGTAACTGATGCTCTTACGAGTCTATTTGGATTGCCTATAAGAAAAATAAAAGTAGAATCCAAAAGTTAAAGTAAAATAAAAAATAGTTTGTGACATGGATTAGGATTATCTCCATGAATCAAACTCGAAGACAAGTATTTAATATGTATTCGGAAACTTACAAATGTTGAATCGAAAATCGAAATAGAAATAGGATAAGTTGAATTCCAAAAGCAATCACTCCTCTCGAGCAAGCACTTTCGCGAATCCACGGACTATTCGAGGCTGCCGATGTATCTTCCGTCTCTCACGCAGTTGCATCCGAAGCTCAACAATCGAATTTCCCTCTTGGCGGATGGAATCACTCCAACTCTAAGGAATCTCTCCAAAGCTAGGTAAACTCTCTCTCAAAATGTTCTCATCTAAGTTGTGTGTCCATCAAAAAAATAAACAAGGCTATATATACTAAATGACAAATTAATCTAAGTCACACATCTTAAGTGGCGAGCTAATTTAAACCACACATTTTGATTAAGATCAAAGGATCACAACCTCCAAGCAAACAAGTAGCTTCGACCGGGTTCGGATTGCAATCGGTCCGTCTAAGTTCGGGTTCGGGTGATCCGGAGCCGTGTCAGTTTGCTTTTATGATAAGATATATTGTTATAAGAGCATGCTTTTAGAATAAATAATAATAATAGTAAAAAATGTAATAAAGTTAAAAGTTTTTTTAACCTATAATATTTACCAAAAAGACATGTTAATAAAATAAAAATACTATATTTAAAAATTTTAAGTTATTTAGAATAACTAAAAATATATATATATTTGAAATAAATGCTTGATACGGTAAAAAAAAAATTATAAATCTATAACTTTCAAATCAATAAATATTAACTTTGTTCATTACATAAATAAATATATATGGAATTTCAAAATAAAAGTTATCGAAAAAAAAAATCATACATAGATTGCAATATAGTTCCCGTGGTAGCGGATTTTGGATGATTCGTTGATATATAAAAATAGTAATAATTATTCCACTACCATAATATTCTCTTTTTGCCTCGAAATTAGCTTTGGATTCAATTCCGAAACTATAAAAACACATATATAATAAATATTAAATCGATTAATTTTGTTTGCCTCAGAATTTCAGAGACTATCCAAAATAGTTTTGGAATTTCAGAAGTTATATTAAATATATAATTTATTATATTGAATGGTCTTGGAAATTCTCAACATATTTTGATTAAGTTCAAAAATTCTGAGACTTTTAGTCTCAGACCTTCCGAACCTATTTTGATTAGTCTCGAAAATTCTGAAACTTTTAGTGTCGGAACTTCCGAACCTAATTTGATTAGTTTCGAAAATTCTTAGACTTTTATAGTCTCAAAAATTCTGAACCTATTTTATATAGTCCTGGAATATTGAACTTTAATTAGTGTCGGAACTTCTGAACCTATTGTAATTAGTTTCAGAATTTTCCAAACTTGGTAAACAATTTAAAATCACCCGCCTCAACAAATTATTTAATTTTGATTTTGATTTTAATTAATAATTTTTATTTTTATTTTATTTAGATATATGCTTATAATTTATTTATTGTGTAGGAATATATGAATAATAATTTATAAATGGTTACATTATAAAAATAATTTAAATAATAAATTTAATAAGTAATTAAATTACAGGTAAAATACAATTTTAGTCTCTTTTATTCACTAAAGTGTTCATTTTATTTTAAATAGTTTCAAAATATTAAAACTTTTTCTTTGAAAAAACAAATCACAACATAAAAAAAAAACCCCAAAAAATTAAACTATAAAATTTCCCGCCTAAACTACCGTACCCTAATTTAAAAAACTTTCAATATTAAAATATTATCTATAAAATAAAATTCAAAATTTCAAAAATCCTAAAAAAAATTCAAATATAAAATTTCCCACCGAAACTACCGTACCCTAATTTAAAAATTTCGATATTAAAATTTTTTCTTTAAAATAAAATTCGAAACTTAAAAAACCCTAACAAAATTCAAATATAAACTTTCCCACCAAAATTACCCTACCCTAATTATAAAAATTTCAATATTAAATTTTTTTCTTTAAAATAAAATTTGAAACTTAAAAAACCCTAAAAAAATTCAAATATAAAATTTTTTGCCGAAACTACCCTACCCTAATTTTGAAATATTTCAATATTAAAACATTTCTTTAAAAAAATTCAAAACTTCAAAAACTACATAAAATTCAAATATAAATTTCCTGCTTAAAATACCATTTCCAATTATTTAAAAATTCAAATATTAGTTTTTTTTAAAAAAAAAATATTCAAAACATAATAAAGTCCTAAAAAAACTCTTCAAACACCCACCACCTACCACCCAACATTAATTTTTTTCATTTATTTATGTTTTCATTAATTCCTCGTCCTTCCACTATATTATCTCATTTTCTTCTTCCTCCACCTACTACTCCACCACGGCGGCGGCCGAGCCCATCGTCCTCTTTCTTTTCTTCTTCTCCGGCAGGCGGCGGCACCGGTGGCTTCTTCTTTGGTGCGGCGGCAGTGACGCTACATATATATATATATATAAATTAATTATTAAACTTAAATTTGATTAATTAATTAATTAAACAAACATGGTGTATTGTGCTCCAGCTAAAACCGCAGAGGGGCTTTCCATTTTCACTCATGATCTAGCAAGAAGCATTGACCTATGGAATGACATGAAGAAATTCTTGGAGAATATTTCCTAGCTTCTAGATCTCCTATTTTGATGAAAGATATACGTGGCATTAAACAAGAATAAGGTGAAACACTCCATCAATGCTCAGAGTGATTTAATATATTTATTACAAAGTGTCCAAAATATCAAATTCCTCCACAATTATTGATTCTTGATACTTTTATGATGTTTTTCATTAATGGACAATAGTATTATTGATGCCGCAAATTGTGGAGCACCGGTGAATAAAACACCAACACAAACATATATTGATTACTTAGTTGGCTGAGAATCCACGATATGGTTTGAGGGACACTAGACCAAAAAGTGGAACAATAGCGACCCAAAACATGACAAGTTTTCTTCCCCTAATGAAGAATATGTAGCTGAGCCGCAAAAACATACTTACGCTTCTATAATAAATAATAACTCCAATTGTCACATATCATTGATCATCACTCTATGAAACTGACATGAAGTTATTACTTTCAAAAGTTGCAGGTTGCCAAAGCATGGTCTGCTCCAGCAATCTCTCAATCACCAGTCGACAAGCCCACTACATCGGAGATACAGCCAACAATTGAAACCCCTACCCCACTATAAATTGCATCATCAAACCAAATTGAAAGGTATGGAGGTAAGCCAACAGATGATATATATGCAATAGAAGACAAAGGTAACTTTTCTATTCGGTGTTCAAAGTGCATGAATTGTGTGATTTATTTCATCACCATTCTTCAATTTGAGACAATCCCCTTTGATTTATTTTTTGCAATTGAGTACAAGTCCGTGTATGTATGAATGTTCCATCTACAATGGTTGCTTCTGAGATTGGGGAGAAATTCAAGAAATTTGGTAAAATCAGGCATAATGAACCATATCCGTATGATAATGATGGTTTAAATAAGTATGATTCATTCCTTGCTCGTGAAAGAAGTGTGAATCACTTGTAATCCAATGAATAAAATTTCAATTTTATCAAATTTATTGCTCGAAACAACTGAATTTGGTAGTTGTGCACTAACCCTGCCAATGAATACTGGTGCACGTACCTTCTGTGAGGTATTCCACATTGATCCGATCGGGTGGACGTATAAGGATGTACATAGTTTTTCTTTTAAGTTATATTTTCTTGAGATCTAATTTAATACATTTGGAAACTAAATTTTTTATATAAGTTCGCAACTTATTGCCGTTGCTTCGCCGTCCTTTAGTGCATCCCTATAGATTGTGGAAAGCACAATCATGTCTACCCATTATTT